GGGGGGGGGTGGAGAGAAATCTCATAAATAACTTTTAAATCACGTCAACCTCTTCATTTCATAGTTGTTGTAGATAATGATCTGCAAAACTGAAGCAGTTGAAATTCAGGTAATGAAAATACTCGGTGTAGTTCTTCCTAGAAATTGAACGTGTTTAATGAATTAATACATTTACAACATTAATGGATAATGACTTAAATGACACCTACATTACATTGGATGGATATGTGGACATGAAGAAATACAGTTATCTGTATTTTTCTATAATGTTTACTGTATATATTTTAATAATCTGTAGTAATTCTATTATTGTGTATCTGATCTGGTCCAACAAAAGCCTCCATGAGCCCATGTACATCTTTATAGCAGCTTTGTTGTTTAACTCTGTTCTTTACAGCACCAATATTTATCCAAAGCTCCTGATTGACTTTTTATCTGAAAAACAGACTGTATCATATTCAGCTTGTCTCTTCCAGTATTRTATGTTTTATTCTGTCGCTGGTACAGAGTTCTTATTGTTAGCAGTTATGGCTTTTGACAGATATGTGTCAATATGTAAACCTCTTAGATATCCAYCCATTATGACAAAAACCAYGGTAAACATTTTTCTGGTTCTGGCCTGGCTTTTACCTGCTTTTCATGMTTTAGTATCAGCAATCCTAACAGCTGAAATAAAAATATGTAACTTAAGTTTAAAAGGKATATTTTGTAACAATGCAGTTTTTTCACTTCATTGTGTCAAAACAAAACCACTTACTATATTTGGAGTTATCTGTTTAATAAATCTTGTAATACTTCCAATGCTTTTTACAGTTTTTACATATACAAAGATATTTGTAATATCTCATCAAAAGTGTATAACATTCAGAAGAAAGGCTGCAGAGACCTGTCTACCTCAACTGTTYATTTTAATTAACTTCTCCTATTTGGCTGCATATGATATAGTTATAGCTCGAGTGGAARCTTATTTTTCAAAAACCACTCGTTTTATAATGACATTGCAAATATTTCTGTATCATCCTTTATTAAATCCATTCATATATGGCCTAAAGWTGAAGGCAATTTCTAAAAATGTAAAAAAGCTTCTGTTTAGGTAAAGTGTAAATCTAAATGTGAACATTTTTGTCTCTGTACAGTTTTCAGTGCATGTGTTATTGTGTCACATGTAATCATTTACAGTAGTTTCATATTTGTCATTGGGAAGAAAATTCAGAACATATGATGTCTAAACCTGTTTATCTTGTTAAATGAATTCAGTTTGTCCTGTTTGTACAACAGATGACTGTTAGACTGAAATCTATTACTGTCTATCAAATTCAGTGATGTCAACTTGTTATTCTTTTGTCTTGAGATTAATATGCGTGTGTGAGTGGAAACAAAAGTATGTAAAAACTGTAAGTTTTGATTTTATAAACTGATATTTTACGAAGACTGAATCTACAGATTTTTTTTCCTTAAAATATTGTGGAGACAAAATTCTCAAAGCTATAAAATTATTTTCATGAGGTTTAAATACTGAGATGAGACTCTAGCACTAGCTACATGTATTTACATGTAAAAACCCTTTTAGCTGATTACAGATTCCTCAGAATCTGTTCCATAGATGGGCCTCAATAAGTCAAGTTAATTTCTTTATAAAGCACAACCAGTCTCACTTTGGGCCCTTGAGCAAGGCTTTTAACCCCTCAGCTGCTCCCCGGGCACTGTTTTGGCAGCCCACCGCTCCACGTGTTCACATGTGCAATGGGTAAGTGCTGCACAACAACAACAACAATACACTATTTAGAATAAAAACAAATGTAAAAACAACATTAAGTTCAAAATAAATCACAAGAGTAAACAATGAACATCCTTCCATCCCTCAACTGTCTTTTGTTCCAGAGTAAAATCTCAGGAGCAGCAGTTTGGATCAGGGAGTTCCAGACATTACAGCCACCTCTTTCACCCCTTCTGAGAGGACTRGGGGAGGTGTTCTCAGACCAGCTGAGAGACATGAACAAACTCAACTGGCTTCATTCAATGTGGAAAACTTTGCAGTAGATGGAATCCCCCCTATGTCTAAAGGAGAGACCAACCACCCTGCAGAGAAAACTCAATTTGACCTCCTGTATCTGTGATCTCATTCTTTCAGTCACTACCCAAAGTTCATGAACATAGATGAGGATAGGAATGTAGACAGTCTGGTACACAGAGACCTTTGCCTTACAGCTCAGCTCCCTTTTAATCACAACAGACCAACATACAGACTGCAATACTGAAGGAAATTTTGTAACTGATTAATTCATTGTTAGATGCATTATTGTATTTTATACTTTCTGAACATTGCAGCTTTAAGGCCATAACAGAATCAGAGTTGGTGTGTGTGCTACCATGTGTTCTTTCTTTAATCTAAAAAATGGGTTACGTTCTGACGTCTGACGTAAAAGGTAACACCTCCTGTGATGTAATCAGTTAGAGATGTACATCATAAGGTCAATTCATTATTATAGTATTAATGGTGCGTTCACACCGAACGCGATTTCAGCGTCAAAATCGCAGCCAACGCTCAAGTTGGTCGCTTGTGCACTTTGAGGTCAGACGCAGGACAGCTCTTGAAGCGCTGCACGGCAAGAGCCTCCCCGCCCCTCCCTCCTCTGTCGGGCTCTGTTTAATGTCGGAC